TGCAGTTAAGGTAACTTAAGTTACAGAGGCAGGCACAATGCAGTTAAGTTAGTTACAGAGGCAGGCACAATGCAGTTAAGTTACAGAGGCAGGCACAATGCAGTTAAGTTAAGTTACAGAGGCAGGCACAATGCAGTTAAGTTAAGTTACAGAGGCAGGCACAATGCAGTTAGTTTTACAGAGGCAGGCACGGTACAAGGCAGTCACAGGCGATGTCTGCCGGGTGAACGTGGCGATAGCTGCGGATGCGAAGGCCGGTTCCTCGGACGAAAAAATCCACGACGACATCGAGAGGCTGAGATGGCTGATGACTTGAAACACGAGAGAACGACAACATGGATTGGAACTGCCCTGCCCGGCAAAAGCTCTGGGGAGCTTGCAAAGAAACCCTCTCCTTTGCCTTCAGAGGGGCCTATCCCACTAGAGCCCTGTCCTCTAACTTAACTTCAAAATGCCAACTCACCTGCTCATCTCTGCTCCTTGCCGTGCTCGGGGCAACGCCGAATCCTGCAAAGACAGAGAAGAAAAAAGCACTCTGAGTTACTGTCACAATGCACAAGGTGGAATTCCCGATGTGGTTCCTTTATTCCATCTGGGACTACAAAAGCTTGTCAGCCAACCAGGGACTGAAACAGAAGAAAAACCACTCAGTCCCACTTCTCATACTCAAAGATCCCCTGTAAACTTCTGAAGACAGAGCCCTCAAATGAGTGTGGGGTGCTTTGCCCTGAGGCATGTGCTATTTTTAAAAAATTCGAGTCACCTCCCTTGCTTTCTAGACACTGCTCACCGGCGTGGCAGGCTAGGGGCGGCTGAGGCGAAACGTCTTTCCCCTGATAATGACTGCACGATAAACCTGCAACCCCTTCTGTCTCTCAGAATCCTGTCCGTGACACCGATGTGTGTCAGGATCCGCAAGGTGGGATCTGTGATGTGGTTCTTTCATTCTATCTTAGAGAACTAAAGAGTAGCAGCAAACCAGGGACTTAAACACCAAAACACACAGAGCTTGCACCCACCTGTCCTCCAGTATCCTTGGCTGGGATACCTTGCAAGTAGACCACCTAAAATAAAAAAAACAAGGGAGAAAAGTTATAGCAGAAACTGAGACCCCAGCAAGAACAACTGCTTCTCTCCACCAACCAAGGCTCACCTTCGCAATGCTTCACCTTCTCTGCTGCTATCCGGCTTTACTTCCTAGAAATAAAGACAAAGAGCAGAGCTGTAACACAGTGACCGGTTCCAGCCCCGCTGCAAAGAAAAACCGTGACTGACCTTCTCAGGGGGACCCCCATCATCTGGGATAGCTGCTCTGCCACGAGGTCAAACCGTCTGCATCTGAAAGAAAGTTAGGAAAAAAGTCAAAGTGCTGCAGGGTAACTTCACAGCTCCAAACACCTGCTGCCAACATAAGAATACCACCTAGACTCCAACTACAGCCCGTATTACAAATCTCCAATTACAAGTGCCCGGGACTTGTCCTTAAACACCTACAACCGGGCTGGGCGCCAGGGCAGAGCAGCTCCGGACCAAATACCACCAGACACCCGTGACACGAGCAGGGACGTGACAAGAGAAAACTCTCGAGACAAGAAAGTCCTCACGAGGACCGAGAGAATGCTGAACGAGATGACCGAGGAGGGACCCGAGGCGAGCCTGCCGGGCTCGGATGACCCTGGAGGAAAAAGACGCTAACGGAACAACTATTTTCCAAGAACCGCAGAGACGGATGCCCGAGAATCCTGTGGCTGGAAGCCTCTGCCTGCCTTTGAATCGGCACAAGTCCTTATCCACTGTAAAGAGACATTGCTGCATATAGCTGTTGACACAGCTGAGAACGAGACCTAAAAAGATCACGTGCTTCTGAAGACAGATGCGATTCTGACATGTGTCCGACCTCCCGAATCGAAGCTTCGCCGGCGTCGGGCCGAGGAACGCAAAGATGGGAGATGAACGGAAGGACCCCGGGGTTTCTCATAAGCCCCTGGGAGGACTAAGGCAAGAGACACATTACACGAGATGCACAGAAGCACACACAGAAGGCACGCGAGACAAGTGACAACACACCCTGAGACTGCTCTGCCCTGCCTGCCTCAGCATTGCGAACCAAAGTGAGGCTTTCCCTCACTGGGGCCTATGGGGTCATTTCCAGAACCTCCCCATCCCCAAAGCTCACTCAAAAACCCAAACCGATCTCAGTCCCGACCGCCGCCCTGCTTTGATCCCCTCTGCGGGCTCCACTTATCTCTCAGAGGGCTGAAGATGTGAGTCACAGCGAGAGGCCGCTCGGGAGCCAAACAAAGCCACCTCGCTGTCTGTGAAGTTCTTCTCTCACCAGGCTGTTGTCTCAGACAAGTATCATCACCTATGATAAAGAAAACCAAATATAAGTGCACAATCTTAGTGGCATATTCACCAATTTCACTGCAAAAAAACCCAACTCCTACTCACCGTCTCTTAGGAACTCCCGGGTCCTCCGGCCACACATTTCGGCCACGCTCCGAGGCGGATGCCGTCGTCGCAGGGTACGCCTAGGATAAACGGAGAGGAGGCGATGTAGCGTCACTGAAAGTTGAGCGCGCCCTCGCCGCTCCTTCCAACGCCCCCGACTCGCCGTGACTCCTCGGCCACGCCTAAAGGGTACCAGGACCGCACCGACACGTGGACGACGTCGAGGCTTCGTCACGGACTCAGTAATATTTGCTGGGGCTCACCAGAGAAGCAAACCGGGTCTCTTGGCAGGTCAGTGAGGGGGCCTCAGCACAGCATCACGAGGCAGCCTAAAACACACCAACAAGCAGGGATGCTTGGAGTTGCACCAGAAACTGACACCCCAGCAAGAACAACTGCTTCTCTCCACCAACCAAGGCTCACCTTCCACCTGCTTCGCCTTCCCCGCTGCTTTCCGGCTTTACTTCCTAGAAATAAATACAAAGAGAAGAGCTGTAACACAGTGACCGGTTCCAGCCCCGCTGCAAAAGTAAAACCGTGACCGACCTTCTCAGGGGGACCCCCATCATCTGGGATGCAGCGCTCTGCCATGAGGTCAATCCGCCTGCATGTGAAAGAAAGTTAGGAAAAAAGTCAAAGTGCTGCAGGGTAACTTCAGAGTTCCAGACACCTGCTGCCAACATAAGAATACTACCTAGACTCCAACTACAGCCCGTATTACAAATCTCCAATTACAAGTGCCCGGGACTTGTCCTTAAACACCTACAACCAGGCTGGGCGGCAGGGCAGAGCAGCTCCGGACCAAATACCCCCAGACACCCGTGACACATGAGACGAGGGGACGTGACAGGGAGAGAAAACTCTCTGAGACAAGAAAGTCCTGACGAGGACCGAGAGAATGCTGAACGAGATGACTGAGGAGGGACCCGAGGCGAGCCTGTTGGGCTCGGATGACCCTGGAGGAAAAAGACGCTAACGGAACAACTATTTTCCAAGAACCGCAGAGACGGATGCCCGAGAATCCTGTGGCTGGAAGCCTCTGCCTGCCTTTGAATCGGCACAAGTCCTTATCCGCTGGAAAGAAACACTGCTGCATATAGCTGTTGACACAGCTGAGAACGAGACCTAAGGAAACATCCGATCGCGTGCTTCTAAAGACAGATACGATTCTGACGCCTGTCCGAACTCCCGCATAGAAGCTTCGCCGGAGTCGGGCCGAGGAACGCAAAGATGGGAGATGAACGGAAGGACCTGGGGTTTCTCATAAGCTCCTGGGAGGGCTAAGACAAGAGATATGTTACACGAGATGTACAGAAGATACAGAAAGCACAAGAGACAAGTGACAACACACCCTGGGACTGCTCAGCCCTGCCCGCCTCAGCATTGTTAGCTAAAGTGAGCCTTTCCCGCACTGTGGCCCCAGAGGCCATTTCTCAAACCTTCCCCCCCGCATAGCTGACTCAAAACCCCTAACCGGTGAGAATCCTACCCCACCGCCCTGTTTTTATCCCCTCTGTGACCACAGCCCTCGTCTTATCTCTCTGAAGTGAATCTGTGCGAGGGGACGATCCGCTGCTAAGGAAAGCTGCTGCGGGGGCGGTTCCCTTTTGTGTTACGATGAATCTGCTGAGAGAATCTGAAGTATCGCACTTGATATGACCTAGAACTTCGGGAAATTCTCCTAAAAAAAAAAAAAAAGCCAAGAAGAAGAGTCATTATAAAAGCATCTTATTGCCCCTGAACCCCCAACACAAAACCATGAACTTAAATACTCCCTGTATTCAATATTGTTTTCTTCGCGGTGTTTTCAAAACTTCTGCTGCTTCAAATGCCCGAAAAGATGCCTGCTCTTAGCAGGCTGAAGCAAATTGAAAGAGCCTCTCCACTGAAATGAGAGAGGAGCTCTTTACCCCTGCTGATTCCCCTGGAAGGAATAATGCCCCTTAGCACAGCCTGGGGTTAATATACCCCTAATTGGGCCCACCTCTTTTTCCCACGATGCCTGGGAAAGGGGAGGCGGCAAATCCCAGCGGGTATAAAGGCCCTCAGAGGGACCGTAGCTGTTTGGCTCCTCTGAGTTAAATTTGAGGTAAGGAGCTCTGCGTAGAAGAAAACTCTTTGCGAAAAAACAATGTTTTCTTTTCTGCTACAATTACTCAGGACAATGGAGCAAAGGAACAAAAAAAAGGTAAGAAGAAAAACTTTGTGTTTCAGCAGTGTTGCCAGCTAAGTTGGATAATTTATGGACTTCCATAATTATTTTTCAGTGATTACTAAGTAGCACTCCACCTGTGATTAATTAGGGTGGAGAAGAATAGTATTGATTTGAATGGTGTCTCATAGGGACCTTTAATCAGGGCTGTCTACATTCTAAATGAAAATAAGAAAAAGAATGGTCTCCCAG